CAAAAAAAAATTGCTTTTTTTGTGTGCTAAAAGCACACTAATGTTACTATGGCACATATAGCCAACCTACCCACTGCCTACAACAAGCATGGTGTCGTCTCCTGCCATGAAGTGGTCCACCGGGTGAGCCGGTGCATTGCTCCCCAAGGTTCCTGTCCAGGGGTATTTGATGGGGCAAGGACAGAACGTGAAGACAAACGTCTCGCCAGTACCGAAGAATGAGGTGTGAGGTTTATTCTTCTCGTGGCGGGTATACCAGGGGGCTGAACAGTAGGCTCCGAATACCTGAGGGAGAAAACGGCAAGCAAATGTTTTGGTTATAAGCAAAATGTACCTATACCTTATAATCCAATTCAATTAAATAAGAATCATTGGAACAAGAAGCAAATAAATTTTTCACAGCAGGATTCCTACAGAAATTTTCTGTCATCTCATAAGAACCTTTAAATTAATACCTCAATAAGGGCATGAATAATAAATCAAATGTAAAATTTGGATTACCGGTATTGAGGAAGATCAGAACTTTGGCATGAGTAAACATGAATAAATAACTAAATGTGTTATGCAATTTTTTTTAACAGATTCTCCGTTAAACATCAATATACACTGTGTCCAAAGAAAAGAAAAAGGGAACTTTTTTGATTGTGATGAAAGACATAAGCAAATATTCATCAAATTTACACATCCAACTCATTTTAGTCCTGACTACTTACCAAAACAAAAAATGAATGGTCTGTGATAAAATTTAATATTGTGTCAGAATAAAAAAAGTGCTTTGTAATTTAAAAAATTGATAAATATTTAGCCTTAGTCTTCATCATTGTAACAAGTGTTCCCTTTTTTCTTCCAGATACAGTGTATATATATACATATTTGGTATGAAATTTACAACTAGATGTCACTGAACAGAAATCACTTAAAAACCCAATAAATTGTTATGTCAAACATGTGACCATTTCATAAAATGAATATTTCATACTATTCTACTAAATGCATGCAAAATGACATGGTTACTGAGGACAGACTTTTTTTTAATGAATAATAATAATAATAATAAAAGGTCTTATATAGCGCGGTACCCCAGCCTGTTTAATCAAGCTGGCTTGATTTAATGTTATGCTTGAACATAAACTCCTGTAGACCCGCATGTAGTGCGATATTCCTGTGTCTGTTTTGTTTAAAATTTAAAAAAATGTCTCCTTTAAAATAATAAAACATTAATGCATGTGCAGTCAAGAATGTGTCATAGATGGCAATTTATTTACAGAAGACTACTGTCACCACCACATGCATCTAATAAAAAAAAACAACTTAATATCAAGCAAAAAGATTTGACCATTTCCATTTCTCAAGAGACTGAACTGTTAAATTAAGTAGGTCCATGTTAGTTGAAAGATATGTAAGAAAAAAAAAAAAAAAATTACCCACTGCTTGGTGTGCTGAAAATGTGTTGGGTGTCTAGGGGTAGGAATAATACATATCACTGAAGTAAATATAAATGATAACTGGCGGAAAATGTGTTGTGTGTCTAGGGGCAGAAATAATATATATCACTGAAGTAAATATAAATGACAACTGGCGGAAAATGTGTTGTGTGTCTAGGGGCAGAAATAATATATATCACTGAAGTAAATATAAATGACAACTGGCGGAAAATGTGTTGGGTGTCTAGGGGCAGGAATAATATATATCACTGAAGTAAATATAAATGACAACTGGCGGAAAATGTGTTGGGTGTCTAGGAGCAGGAATAATATATATCACTGAAGTAAATATAAATGACAACTGGCGGAAAATGTGTTGGGTGTCTAGGGCATGAATAATAGTTATTACTAATGTAAATATGGATGACGGCTAGAGTAAAATGTTTAGGGTATCTTGGGGTTGGAATAATATATTATTATATATTACTAAAGTAAATGTCAATGATGACTAGAGTAAAATGTTTAATCCCTAGAATAAATTGTTTATCAAAATTTCCTATATTTTCAAAACTCTAAAGGCAATGCTTGGGTAAAAACTGACTTGAAGTCAATGTGCACTCAATTTACTTCTCTGAATACTAAAAATCAAACTGCATTGTTAATTTTAAAAGCAAGTAGACAAATCACAAAAAATTAAGAGAAAAAAATTCAAATACATTCTCACCTCATTGTTTGCGGTTTTAATAGCCAGCAGAGACTGGGGGAGATGTTCAGTCTTTTTGTACAGTGTGCGCAGTGCTGTACCATGTTCATCTGATGAGAAGAGTAGCTCTGGTGTTGTAAGGGTTAACCTGAATGGGATCCATGTCCAGATGGTTTGTAGCTGAAAATAATTAGCACATATACAAAAAGCTGTCACCACAAAGGTGCAGTGATTTCTTTTTAGCATCATTCATTTAGGATTTAGGTGCATTCCATTACTGTTTGTGGAGTACAGATAAAAATAAAAATTTGTTTTGTCAAAAGACCTGATTTTTCCAAACGGAATAATATAAAATAATTTTGGTAAATTTGAATTCTGTACCCTTACACAAACCCCTCTGCGACCTGTTGCTGTCGACTGAACACTTCTTACATGAAGTTCTGCGGCTCATATCTTCTTCACTTAATACACAAGCATACACTTTTAATGCTTCATGGCTTAAATTTTGAGTCTAGAAAAATTAGAGAACTAGAGAAGAGTGATTTATCCAAATAAAATTTATTTGGGCTGGACAGCAAGCAGCTTTTGGGGACCATGGTGGTTTTTTGTTTTCACTGCTGGTAGATTTGAATGCAAGAGTTGCATTGTTGTGAATAAATTGGAAATCATGAATGTATTCAGCGGTTGGCCCGAATTTCACAATAGTACTTTTGGTTTTAAAAACAGAACAAAAATATTAACTTGAAAAGCCCAAAGAAAATAAAAAATACTCCCCCTTACCATCTCTGGGGACAGGATCTTACCATCTCTGGGGACAGGACCTTACCATCTCTGGGGACAGGATCTTACCATCTATGGGGACAGGACCTAACCATCTCCGGGGACAGAACCTTACCATCTCTGGGGACAGGACATTGGATGAAGATGTCTGGGTAGACATCTGTCCCTTGAAAGCCCTTGGAACAGCAATCTGAGCCATGCTCTGGCTGGTGACGACCCTCGACATGACATCTTTTACCGGAAGATTCTTTAGATTTGTTTCATGCTTAGTGTGGAGTTTTGTAATCTCTTTCCTGGTCAAACCTCGAATACCAAACCCAATCTGGCAATAGAGAGTCATTAAGTGTCAAACTGCTCTGGGCTAAAATATACCTAGCTTAGAATTCTCGCAATATATATTTTTAAAAAATAATTAAATGTGAGAATTTATATTATGAAAAGTAACTATTGTGCCTAGGGATGCAGATTTAAAAAAGTAAAATAAATAAAAAGTAAGAATTTATGTTATGAAAATTAATTTTTGTTCTTAGAGATGCACATTGCTTTTTTCTTATAGGTAAGCTCATCATTAAACTGACACGACCTTCAACACACCTTGATAAGTTTTTTTGAGTCATAGGGCATGTTGTTACAAAATCTGGAAATAGCAGCCCCAATATTTACAACGGGTGAACTGCGACTTCCTCTGCTATCTATGGACAGAAAGACAAATGCAAGCGCATAAGTTATATTTTTTTTAAAAATTCACTGTCCTTTGTCTTTCTTCTAAAAATTTATTAGGTCATAAAATCTTTTCTCTTCATTTCATAAATTTATTATTAGCTTTGCACTGTTTAAGTAAAATGGTTTTTGAGAGTCATACAACACTAACATTTGTGTGCACTTTAATGAACTTATTTCCAAATGCAAATTAAATCATCCCTGAAGCAACTCCCATGATTCAACTACAGATATAACATTAATCTACACTGGTCACGGTTGTTGTGGTGTTATATTTACTCACTGAATTCTTTGATAAACAGAAAATATTAAACTACATTGGTCATGGTTGTTGTGGTGTTATATTTACTCACTGAATTCTTTGATAAACAGAAAATATTAAACTACACTGGTCATGGTTGTTGTGGTGTTATATCTACTCACTGAATTCTTTGATAAACAGAAAATATTAAACTACACTGGTCATGGTTGTTGTGGTGTTATATTTACTCACTGGATTCTTTGATAAACAGAAAATATTAAACTACATTGGTCATGGTTGTTGTGGTGTTATATTTACTCACTGAATTCTTTGATAAACAGAAAATATTAAACTACACTGGTCATGGTTGTTGTGGTGTTATATTTACTCACTGAATTCTTTGATAAACAGAAAATATTAAACTACACTGGTCATGGTTGTTGTGGTGTTATATCTACTCACTGAATTCTTTGATAAACAGAAAATATTAAACTACACTGGTCATGGTTGTTGTGGTGTTATATTTACTCACTGAATTCTTTGATAAACAGAAAATATTAAACTACACTGGTCATGGTTGTTGTGGTGTTATATTTACTCACTGGATTCTTTGATAAACAGAAAATATTAAACTACATTGGTCATGGTTGTTGTGGTGTTATATTTACTCACTGAATTCTTTGATAAACAGAAAATATTAAACTACATTGGTCATGGTTGTTGTGGTGTTATATTTACTCACTGAATTCTTTGATAAACAGAAAATATTAAACTACACTGGTCATGGTTGTTGTGGTGTTATATTTACTCACTGGATTCTTTGATAAACAGAAAATATTAAACTACACTGGTCATGGTTGTTGTGGTGTTATATTTACTCACTGAATTCTTTGATAAACAGAAAATATTAAACTACATTGGTCATGGTTGTTGTGGTGTTATAT